TTCCTTTGAACATTTTATTAAAACACCAAAATCCAAACGTTGCTTCCACCTGCTTCGTCGTGCCAGTGTTTGGTCGGGCCTCTTTCTCAGTGTTGCTTTCAAATTCTTCTCTTTCCTGGGCTGGGAGGGAAGAGAGGAGAGAGGGAAGAACACTTCTCTTCCTCTTGCCCTCCCTGCGTCTTCGGTGCTCTTAAAGGCAACAGCTGGGAGCAGGGCACAGGCCCTCAGGGTGAGGGCAGCCACCCTGAAATAACACCTCCCTCTCAACACGTGTTGGAGATCACCTCTCACTCTGCTGTCTTTGCAAATGAGAAGAGTAGCCTGCTTCTGGCATCCCTGAGTTAGAATCGGAGCTCCAGTGAGGGGCTCCTCTTGCCAGTGGTGAGTGTTTAATACTCTCGATCTCCTGTGATCCAGGCACATCCATAATGGAATAGGATTTTTTGTTGTTGAAAATTTATTTTCCTAGGTCTTCCCTAACTTTTACTACTGCTAGGTAATCTCAGCTTATATGGGAGTCAAGCAGGGATTTGAGAAAGCCAGTCTGGAGCAGAAGCACATTCTGTGGTCCTGGTTCTATTTTTCAATCCTAAACCATCTGTTTCCCCTTCCATTAGCATATCCGTTGGGGGAACTTTTTGTTTCAGTACCAACATCTCCCAAGGTGAGTGGAAGTCACATGCAGCCTTCCTGACGTGGCACATAAAAGAAATTAACATGGAGCGTTTGCATCTGTCTTGTCTGTCAGAGCTGAGGGTCCATTTCCCTATCATGCCACTTCTGAAAATTCAATTTTGGAGCAAGTTCTGTGAGCCAGATGAGGATCCGTAGAACCAAGAGGCCCCTATGCAGGAAAAATACATACAACCTGGGATCAGACATCTGTGCTTGGGGGATCCAGCTGGTGTAAACCATAACCCTGTGTACTAAGTACTTTGAAGAACAGAAGAACAGAACAAACACCTTTCAAGTGCTTAGGAGAAGCCACTATCTGTTACTGCACATTTTATAAGTTGAAGACCAGAGAAAAGGGAACACATGGCTAAAGAGGAATTTGGAAATAGCCAAGGCAGAGGATTTCCCTTAGCAAGCTAATTTCTGTTCTAATCATGAAAAAGATGATTTCTCCTCATAATAGGGAATCTTGCTATTTTAAGCTTTTTGTATGGTGCCTTTATT